TGATGATATGATAGTTTACCTTGAAAACCCTAAGGACTCCTCCAGAAAGCTCTTAGAACTGATAAAAGAATTCAGCAGACTGCACGCGGTGGCTCATGCCTGTAATCCTAGCACTTTGGGTGGCCGAGGCAGGTGGATCACCTGAGCTCAGGAGTTCGAGACCAGCCTGGCCAACGTGGTGAAACCCTGTCTCTACTGAAAATACAAAAATTAGAAAAGGCGTGTTTGTGCACACTTGTAATCCCAGCTACTTGGGAGGCTGAGGCAGGAGAATCACTTGAACCTGGGAGGAGGAGGTTGCAGTGAGCTGAGATTGCACCACTGCACTCCAGCCTGGGAGACAAGACTGAAACTCTATCTCCAAAAAAAAAAAAACAAAAACAAAAACAAAAAAAAACAGCAAAGTTTCTGGATACGAGATTAACGTACACAAATCAGTAGCCCTTCTATACACCAACAGTGACCACGCAGAGAATCAAATCAAGAACTCAACCTCTTTCACAATACCTGCAAAAAAAAAAAAAAAAAAAAAAAAAAAAAAAAAAGGAATATACCTAACAAAGGAGCCAAAAGACCTCTACATGGAAAACTACAAAACATTGCTAAAAGAATCAGATGACACAAACAAATGGAAACGCATCCCATACTCATGGATGGGTAGGATCAATATTGTGAAAATGACCATACTGCCAAAAGCAATCTACAAATTCAATGCAATCCCCATCAAAATACCACCATCATTCTTCACAGAGTTAGAAAAAGCAATTCTAAAATTCATATGGAACCAAAAAAGAGCCCGCATAGCCAAAGCAAGACTAAGCAAAAATAACAAATCCAGAGGCATCACACTACCTGATTTCAAACTATACTATAAGGCCGTAGTCACCAAAACAGCATGGGACTCTGACGAGTTGATGAGTGCAGCACGCCAACATGGCACAGGTATACGTATGTAACAAACCTGCACGTCATCCACATGTACCCTAGAACTTAAAGTATAATTAAAAAAAAAAATACACACATAGACCAATGGAACAGAATAGAGAGTCCAGAAATAAAGCCAAATTCTTACAGTCAACTGATCTTTGACAAAGCAAACAAAAGCATAACGTGGGGAAAGGACTGCCTTTTCAACAAATGCTGCTGAGATAATTGGCTAGCCACATGTAGGAGAATGAAACTGGATCCTTAGCTCTCACCTTATACAAAAATCAACTCAAGATGGATTAAGGACTTAAACCTAAGACCTGAAACTATAACAATTCTAGAGGATAACATTGGAAAAACCCTTCCAGACATTGGCTTAGGCAAGGATTTCATGACCAGAAACTTAAAAGCAATTGAAAAAAAAAGAAAAATAGCTGGGACCTAAGTAAACTAAAGAGCTTTTGCATGGCAAAAGGAACAGTCAGCAGAGCCCAGCCTGATTTTGAACTCCTGGGCTCAAGGAATCCTCCCACCTCAACCTCCCAAAGAGCTAGGATTACAGGCCTGAGCCATCAAGCCTGGCCTTCTTTGTCTTTTTAATTATAGCCTTCTGACTGGTTTAAGATGATATCTTATTGTGGTTTTGATTTGCTAATGTTGAGCATTTAAAAATATACCTGTTGGCCATTTGTATGTCTTCTTTCATCCCCTATCCTTTGGGCTATTGCAATGACATCCTAATTAATAAATATGTATTGTGAGAGCATTTTTTTCCAACACAAAAAATAGTGACACCCAACAAATCTGACAAAGGATTTTTTTTTAAAAAGACAACTTTCAGTTATGAAAGGCAATCTGAGGGATGGACATTAGATATCAAGTATCAGTGTTCAGGTTATGAATCTTACAGTTCTAGTAGTTAAGAAGAGGAAGAGATCACTTCCATTTTGCTTATCAGGGAAACATTTATACAAGAGCTTGATTTTAAGGAACAAGATAGGCAGAGAGCACAGTATGAACAAATGCACATGGCATATTTGTTAGTGGTTATTGCAGAGTAGACTTGTTTGTTTGGAATGGAGAGTTCATGCAGTTTTTCCTAATTGATGATAATTATCACTTTGGGTGCTTGTTAAATATATGATTAGCAAACCTCTGGATTAGAAATTTTGATTCAATAGGTCTGAGTGAGGGTATAGGAGTCAGTGTTTTTAACAAGCATATCAGATGATTCTTAGGTTCAGGGAAATTTGGGAAACACAGAACTGTAGAGAGAATAATGGCAGATGAAGGTGGAATGGAAAGTAGGTGCTAGATAATGTGAGACTTTCAAAGCCAGGTGCAGGAGCTCAGAATGTTGCCACTGAATATGAGCAATATCTAACATTTGGAAGTCTGTGACTATCTCCTGCTTTCCATATTGGAAATGCTGCCAGTATTATGACTGTGGATAGCATAGGTTATGAGCTGTTGTCTTGTTTACATTGGAGGAACTGTCAGGTTTCCTTGGACTCTGCAAAAATATGTAGTTGCAGGAATGAGACTTTTAACTTCATAGCTCAAGCAAGGGCTTGTGTCAATCAAGTGCACTGATTTTTCAATTTGTCCCCACTCTAGCCTGTAATCAGTGATTTCAGCACCATTGCATACAGGAATGTGAAAGATGCAACAGACACAGAAATTGAGTTCTTTCTCTAGGTAGTCACTATGCTAGATACTGTCAAGAGTTACAGCATGATCCTTTCAGTGTCAAAGCTTATAATCTATTAAATGCTATGAGATACAGACAAGTGTAGAAATAATTAAGCATAAGGCAGTATACTATAATCAACATTAAAAGGCTCAAATAAAACTAAGAAAAAGGATCATCTAATTTTACATATTAGATGAATGCCTTTAAAAATGTATTAAAATTATTTTTAAGTGAGTTACTTAAAAAAGAGCAAACTTACATATACTAATGTTGCTTTATATTACTATTGGTTACTGGGATGAAACACAAACCCCAGTATTCTCTGGCCTTTATACAGTGATACAGTGATACAGTGATGTAATCATACCTGTCATCTATTATTAAGACACTAAGGCTTTTTGTTAATGCTACACATACCCTGCTAGAGTCTGGGAAAAAGGGAAGAAAATTTTAAAGATACTTACATGGCTGAATAATTAGGCCTCTTTTTTAAATTTAATTTTATTTTTTTTATTTTTATTTTTTAGAGCTTAGTTTGAATGTGAATATATTCACATGGATGTAAAAAAGTTATTTTCTGTTTTTTTTTTTTTTTTTTTTTTTGATGGAGTTTCGTTCTTGTTGCTCAGGTTAGAGAGCAATGGCGCCATCTTGGTCCACCGCAACCTCTGCCTCCCAGGTGCAAGTGATTCAGTGATTCTCCTGCTTCAGCCTCCCGAGTAGCTGGGATTACAGGCATGCGCCACCACGCCTGGGTAATTTTGTATTTTTAGTAGAGACAGGGTTTCTCCATGTTGGTCAGGCTGTCTTGAACTCCTGACCTCAGGTGATCTGCCTGCCTCGGCCTCCTAAAGTGCTGGGATTACAGTTGTGAGCCACTGCGCCCAACCAAAAGTTTGTTTTTTTTAAAGCTTCATTATCTTATAGCCACATTTCTTATGTGTCATACTGTATAGTTACATGCAAGCAAACATGACCAGAGATTTCCCAATGACGCTTTAAAAAATGCTAAGTTCTATAAATTGATTTAACTTTATCTCTTATTTTAGTTTTAAAAATTAAATTAGTGACCTATTGATATTCTACTTGGTTCTCCAAATGTATTACTCTCCTCAAATATAGGCTCTGTAGAGCAGGATTAGCATTGCTATAGCCTTCCTAGTACCATTAGTATTACATCCTAGGTGTGTTCCAGAAACCATGATCCAAGATTTGTGGGATTCTAATTCTAAACTCTGACTTCTTAGGGATTTCCAGAGTTTCCAAAAAAGGTTCTAAAAAAATTACTGTGCTTTTATAATAATCATAAATTAATAACAATAAATTGATAACATACTCCCCAACTAACAACAACACAGTTTGGACCCTTTCAGGTTAGTACAGGTATACCACATTGAGAAGGAGGGCCTGGGACTGATGCGGTTTCACACTTCATTGAAAGATCCAAACTACAAACAAACAAATAAGCAAACATACAAATGATTGTGCAGGCATGATCACTTCCCACCTTGACGGGAAGTAGCAGCATATATCCATCCAAAGTGAAATGGACTACAAATGGGACAATGTAACAATATAACTTCTCTATCCCTATTTGCTGTTTTTAACTAGAAATTGTATATTCTACAGGAATTTGTTTACTCAATCTGTATTTCACTTCAGAGCCAGGGTGCCCTTGTGTGTCATCGTGGTTACCGTTTGCTTTTTTGACACATACAAGTGCTTCAGGGTTTCCATTAGCAACAGAATTTTCTATTAAAATATACAAAATCAAATTTAAAGTATTTTGTAAATAGTTTTAAAGGTGCTTCTCTAAAATTATACAAAATAATTTGAGAAGACTGTTAAAACACTTAAAGTAACAGAAGACTCAAAATATAGTAATCGTGTCAATTAATTTTTAAATTTTATTTACAGACTTAAAATAATTTGTGGTTGCAATTACTAAGTAAGAAACAACTAGCCAGGCTCGGTGGCTCCTGCCTGTAATCTCAGTGCTTTGGGAGGCTGAGGTGGGAGGATCACTTGAGGCCAGGAATTCATGACCAGCCTGGGCAACAAAGTGAGACCCTGTTTCTTCAAAAAATAAAAAATGTAGCTGGACATGACGGTGTATGCCTGTAGTCCCAGCTACTCGGGAGGCTGAAGAGGGAGGTTTGCTTGAGCCCAGGGGTTCAAGGCTGCAATGAGCTATGATTACTGTCAGTGCACTCCTGCTTGGGTGACAGAGTGAGACCCAGAATCTAAAAAATGAACAAAGTAACAAAAGAAATAATTGGCTGACCAATATTTGATTATATACTAAAAGAAAATCACTCTTTCTGCTTTAATATCATTTAATATATAAAAAATCAAAAGTTACAAAACAGGAAATATAGGCTTAGTCATACAAATCATACAAAGAAGCCTCACTGCATAGGACATTGGTTTCTCTGGATTTTGTCTTACCATTCAAGGGTGGAGGACAGCATGATGCAGGAGAAAGAGTAGGTGTTTGAATAGTCAATATATCTGAAGGCTAAGAGAAAGAAAAAATACGTTATGACTGTACTGAATTAAAGTTCAGTTTTGTAAAACATTTAGTAATATGATACAGCTCATTTCAGTCTTCAGTTTAAAATGTTTTCCATCTTTCTTTTCTCACCTGTCTGGACTATAAGTGAGTTACAAAAGACTCTCAGTTTATATGCAGTACCAGGTTGCAGGTGATTATATAGAAATTCCCTTTTGTTGCCACTGTAAATTATGTTCCAGAGATTCACTGAAGGGATAAAAGCAAATTTATTCAATTTATTTATGGGTAGCTTATCATTTAAAAAATTTTTTTTGAGTGGAGTCTTGCTCTATCGTCCAGGCTGGAGTGCAGTGGTGCAATCTTGTCTCACTGCAACCTCCACCTCCCGGGTTCAAGCGATTCTCATGCCTCAGCCTCCCAAGTAACTGGGATTACCAGCCTGTGCCACCAAACCTGGCTAATTTTTGTATTTTTAGTAGAGACGGAGTTTCACCATGTTGGCCAGGCTGGTCTTGAACTCCTGACCTCAAGTGATCCACCCGCCTTGGTCTCCTAAAGTGTTGGGATTACAGGCATGAACCACTATGTCCAGCTTGCTTATAAATGTTATCGGTTTCCGTGATATCTCATGTATATACTAAGAAATAACAACTTTGGAAACGAAGTTGGTCCAGTTATCTATTTCAATAGTAAAATAATATATGCCCCATGAATTAACCATAAAATCATAAGATATCAGTCAGTAAACATGATTTATTACTAAAAACTGCAGAAACTCAAGTAATTTCTTGGGTTTAGGTGATAGTATTATCCCAATGCCAATTTCCTAGTTTTGATAATTGTACTATGGTTATGTAAAATATTAATCTTAGGAGAAGCTGAGTGAAGATTTAACATGGGAACCCTCTATACCTTTTTTTTTTTTTTTGCAGTTTCTAGTGAGTCTAAAATTATTTCAAAATAAAATATTTAAAAAAATCATGATGCCTTACCATCTGAATTTTCACTAACTTCTAAACTGTAACTTGAAATGTATGTTCCACCATTATCTTTGGATGGTTCTGCAAAGAGAAATAAAATCAAAATTATTCTTGAATAAACTTAAAAGTCTCCCACTTGAATGTTATCTCATGAGTTAACAAAAATTTTTCACAGAGGAAAAAATGTAAACAAGAAACAATAGTGTATTAATAACCAGACATTAATAAAGATAATAAAAACATAATTCAAGTTACATGCTTGGAATATTGGACATGAAGCATTTAAATAAATATTGTAAAGTTATTTGCAAGAGACTGAAAAGCTAAGTATATGTGCCATAAAGTTGATTTCTCTAGTTTGGAGAGAAAATAATTTGTATGAATATAATTTCTTAAGCTGACGTTTATCATTGATGTGGCCTTCTAATTGTGGCCTCCATATTAGATGTAATCTTACTTAAGGACACATAAAGCTCAACAATTTGTTCATGTGCATATTAATGAGGTAGCAAGAGAGAACTAGAAAAATAATATAGTTTACAACTAAACCCATTTATATGGCAGAATATCTCACATATAAATGATTAAGAGAACATTTTATAAAGCTGAGGACAATGAGAGGAAGATTTCTTCTCAATAGTTAATATTAAGACAGAGGGAAAATTTTAAATACAAAAACATTACTTACTCCATCCCATTTTTACACTGTGTGCATGGATCTTTCCCTTTATATATGGTTTTCTAGGGGATCCAGTTTTATCTGGACAGGTAGTATATTTTACTTCTCCACTGGAGTTGCTTCTTCCTTCCATATTGCAGGCAAAGATCTGTTTAAATAAAAGAGGATGATGTGGCTGACCATTGCAAATGAATGTCTGATTTGAAAATGTTCAGTTTGCAAATATAAAGTAAGTTGAGTGAGCATTTCTAAGAACTAAATACAAAATAAGGCTTAATTTCAAATAAAATACACTCATTTGTCTGGTGAAAAGTATAATTTTATATTAAAATATGACACAAATTTATAAAGTATAGCCACATACCCTTGTATGTAGTACTTCTCTGAAGACTTCTTATAGTGCATGAAAAGTCTTCTCCATTGTATTTCGGCTTAAAATCTAAACCCTAGAAAGACAATGAACTTTGGAACTGGACAAGCATGCATTACAACTTCAATTTATTTTCCATCTGGGTGATTCTGAGCAGGTCCCTTAGTGTCTCTGAACTTCAGTTTCTCTGTATAAAAAATGGAGATAATTTCTACTTTGACAGGCTCATTCCTTTGGGGGGATTTAATGAGGTAATGAATGTGAAAGCACTTAGTACGTTACTTGCAGCATAGAACACTTCTCAAAATTTATCTACTTTATGTAAACTGTGGTAAAATATACATAATATAATTTACAGCTGCTTTACAAATTTACCAGCCTATTCAGTACAGACTTGAAAGTTCAGGATGGAATGAAATAGTTGCCTGCCCTTATCAGGAATCCAGTGATAGGAACAAAGGGTAGAAATATGTTGAGGTGCTGAAGATTTATGTGACTATGCAAGGTTGTCTGGTATAGGCCCAAAGTTAAAAACTAACACAATTCTCTGAGTCTCTATGCTATTGTTATGGCTGCTGCTGCTTCTAGCTAATTTGCAGGGACTTGAGTAGTTTTAGATCTTTCTGTGCAGCATTGCCTAACCCCAGCTCTGCGCTGGCCCCATCTAGAGCACAGGAAGTCAGGAGTCATGCAATTCCTGACCCAACCTAGGCTCTGTATTGGCTCCCTGCAGAACACAGGGGACTCAGGAATCATGCAATTCCTGAATGAATTGACTGAGTAGAAAGCAAATTGATTAAATTAAAACTCTTCTCAAGTGTGGAATCCATGTAACAAATACCTAAAACTGAGGTTGAAGATTAAAGCATATGAAAGAAAAATGTACAGATACTGCTTCCTCCATTTCTAGTACATAAGTAGGGGTGTCATTTGGGTTTGTGTTGGGGCACACCAGTCTAATGACAAATAACGGATTCTTGCTTCTTTTAGCTTAGGAGGCGGAGGTGTTGGAGGCATAGTTCCTGATGTATGGAAGACTGCTGTTTAACTGAAATCACTGAAAAATAGATTAAGATGGAAAATTAGTCTCAGATTCTTATTGAAGTATAGATTTAAATATTGTAAACATTTAAATATACTTCAAGCCAGAGTTATTTTTGGCAGCTAATCTGAATGAGTATTTTGTAGAAACACTCAGTCCAAGGATCTTGTGCTGTTTTATGATACTCATATAGCAACTTTTGAAGTCTTCACCTTTGCCTTTAATAATAGACACAAAATATTAGAATATCATAAAATGCTACAGTTAACAACAAAAATTCATCATAGCATTAATAATCATCCACAATCAAGTGCTTTTTAAAAATAAAACTGTATACTTCATCCCATTCCAAAAGGAAACTGTTTATTTTGGAACGATTATCATTGGAACCCTAAAAATATTTTTAAAAAGTTATGAGGGGCCGTTTTTACGTGGAATACATATATATATGCTAAATACATATATGCATATGTATATACATTTAAAGTTATATAAGTTACTCTAAAATTAATCTGCTTATATTTTGTTTATGAAGCAATCCAGATTTTAAAGCTAAAATGCACTTTTTACACTCTGCAAGACATTCTTAGATTCTTTGTGTTGTTATGTTTTCCAAATTGTATACAATGAAAAAAATTGGAACTTAAGCAAATTGAGAGGTATATTTATTGGTAACTACAATTATAAATAATTAAGTTGTAGAAATCGATACTCCAACTTTGTTAATTATTGAAATTCTTACAAACATTTCCCAATTTTCCTTGATGCTTGGTATACATAGAAGTGAAAGATTATTATGAAGAATACAAAGTGCTAGGGAAATAAGTCGAACGAGGCATGCATCATTCTATACAATTTAGGACACTGTAGGAAGAGTATTTTTAAATTATAAAAACATGTTCAGGTGCTTTTGATAGTAAAATCCTTACTTTCCACTGTAAATTCAGGCTGCTCTTGGATCTGTTAATCAGTCTGGGTGCAAGTGGAGGGTCCGGTTTGCAACTTGGGGTTATGAAACTAACCACTTCAAACACAGTTGTGTGTTCTGAGCCTCTTATGGTTGTTACTCTAAAAATGTAATAACAATTGTAAACTTTCAAATATTTATCCTGACATACATGATAAATTGCAAACTTGGGTTTCAGACATATTTCCTATGAGCTAAGTATAAGAAATTTGCTAATAAAAATTTTCTAATAAAGCAAAGTTGAGTCCCTGCAAATAATGATTCTCAAAGCACTCTCTTACCTGTTCCAAATGAAAAACAGTGAACTAATGCTAGATTTGGAGGAGCCTATTTGGAAGCTTGAAGGCAGGGTCACTCTGTTGGCAAATAGTAAGGCAGACTGAAGGAATTATAAGTAGTGACCGATACAGATTAGAGAGTCTGACTGGATATGGGGTGGTGTAGTCTGTTTAGAATGAAGTTCTTACCTTAAAAACCAGGCCATGGATGATTGTAGATCAACTAGGGTAAAGGTAACTCCATCACCACTGTGAAGATAATCTTTGTTTACAGTGGATCTCACACATATTTAAAAGCTAAGTAAGCAGTGTTAATCATATATATTCAACTGACAGAAAAAGAGAAGCACAATTGAAATTTGGATAACTTTAATCCATTTTATGTGCATGCAAAATAGTGATTTAATAATTCATTACACTTTATTTGCATGCCAAATTAATACAGCTTTAAGAAATGAAATTTTACTATTTTACCATTGCATATTCTTCACACTGCAATAGTGCAGACTTCTCTTTAACTAGTTTATTTTAAATAGTATAGATATGAAAATCCTCAACGAAACCATGAATCATGAAATTTATTCATTCAGTCATCAAGAAAAATTTTCCTGGGGTGGGCACCTATCTGCTACAATGAATAGAGTGACTGCTCCCAAACTGATGCCTTCCTGAGCAAACAGTCACAAGTACCTAGGTGTGTTCTACCACCTTAAGAAATTCCGTCAGGCTACAGACTCTAAAATGTCCTCCAAAAAAAGGTAAAAAAATTGATGCTTCTAAGCACAGGCCACTCAGGGTGACCAGAGGTATCGGAAATAATATTTTCAATTAAAAATAATAATTTTTGTAAAGTGCATACTATACAAATACCACCATGCAAATTCATACAAAAGTCATTTTTACAAAGAGCTTTTCATCACATCACACCTTACCATCCCCCTATCCAATATAGAAGGTTACATATTGTAAAACTTAGACTTAAAAAATTTAGCTGCTAGTTATAAAAGAAATAAAACTGATCATTAAATGCAAATCAAAACCACAATGAGACACCATCTCATACCAGTCAGAATGGCTATTATTTTATTGTTTTTGTTTCTTAAATTTTATTTTTCCATAAGTTATTATGGTACAGGTGGTATTTGGTCACATGAGTAAAATTTTTGGTGGTGATTTGTGAGATTTTGGTGCATCCATCACCTAAGCAGTATACACTGTACCATATTTGTAGTCTTTTATCCCTCGGCCCTTCTCACTCTTCCCCCCAAGTCCCCAAAGTCCATTGTATCATTCTTATGCCTTTGCATCCTCATAGCTTAGTTCCCAGATATCAGTGAAAATGTACAATGTTTGGTTTTCCATTCCTGAGTAACTTCACTTAGAATAATAGTCTCCAATCTCATCTAGGTCACAGCAAATGCTGCTAATTCATTCCTTTTAATGGCTGAGTAGTATTCTATCACATATATATCTACCACAGTTCTTTTTTCCATTTTATTTATTTATTTATTTTATTTTTTATTACTATTATTATTATACTTTAAGTTGTAGGGTACATGTGCATAACGTGCAGGTTTGTTACATATGTATACTTGTGCCATGTTGCTGTGCTGCACCCATCAACTCGTCAGCACCCATCAACTCGCCATTTACATCAGGTATAACTCCCAATGCAATCCCTCCCCCCTCCCCCCTCCCCATGATAGGCCCCGGTGTGTGATGTTCCCCTTCCCGAGTCCAAGTGATCTCATTGTTCAGTTCCCACCTATGAGTGAGAACATGCGGTGTTTGGTTTTCTGTTCTTGTGATAGTTTGCTAAGAATGATGGTTTCCAGCTGCATCCATGTCCCTACAAAGGACACAAACTCATCCTTTTTTATGACTGCATAGTATTCCATGGTGTATATGTGCCACATTTTCTTAATCCAATCTGTCACTGATGGACATTTGGGTTGATTCCAAGTCTTTGCTATTGTGAATAGTGCTGCAATAAACATACGTGTGCATGTGTCTTTATAGCAGCATAATTTATAATCCTTTGGGTACATACCCAGTAATGGGATGGCTGGGTCATATGGTACATCTAGTTCTAGATCCTTGAGGAATCGCCATACTGTTTTCCATAATGGTTGAACTAGTTTACAATCCCACCAACAGTGTAAAAGTGTTCCTATTTCTCCACATCCTCTCCAGCACCTGTTGTTTCCTGACTTTTTAATGATCGCCATTCTAACTGGTGTGAGATGGTATCTCATTGTGGTTTTGATTTGCATTTCTCTGATGGCCAGTGATGATGAGCATTTTTTCATGTGTCTGTTGGCTGTATGAATGTCTTCTTTTGAGAAATGTCTGTTCATATCCTTTGCCCACTTTTTGATGGGGTTGTTTGTTTTTTTCTTGTAAATTTGTTTGAGTTCTTTGTAGGAAGAATCAATATCGTGAAAATGGCCATACTGCCCAAGGTAATTTATAGATTCAATGCCATCCCCATCAAGCTACCAATGAGTTTCTTCACAGAATTGGAAAAAACTGCTTTAAAGTTCATATGGAACCAAAAAAGAGCCCGCATCTCCAAGACAATCCTAAGTCAAAAGAACAAAGCTGGAGGCATCACGCTACCTGACTTCAAACTATACTACAAGGCTACAGTAACCAAAACAGCATGGTACTGGTACCAAAACAGAGATATAGACCAATGGAACAGAACAGAGTCCTCAGAAATAATACCACACATATACAGCCATCTGATCTTTGACAAACCTGAGAGAAACAAGAAATAGGGAAAGGATTCCCTATTTAATACAGCTCTTTTCAATTGAGAACTGAAGCTACAGAACACCAACATTTTTGCTGTGGTTGCTATTCTCTAGCCTTTAAATGAGACCCTAATAACTAAAGGATGTTTTGGTTTTCTGAATGTAAGCAAAATTAACAACCAAAGTACAGATGAAAAAGATGGCTGACTGAGGCAGCTGCGATGTGCCTCTTCCATGGAGAGGAACCACAATATTGAGTAAATTTTGATACTTTAAACAGATCTTTTGAGAGCAAACACTGAAATTTAATAGAGAGGCAATAGAAGGCACTGGTTGAAGAGGGAGGAAGCATAGCTGCCTGCTCAGTATTACTGCGTGCCAGGAATGGATCCCAGACCCAGACTGGACTCAAGGTAGGGGCAGTTTAAGGAACCCCAGGCACCACATTCCTTCTGTAGACCTCTGAGATCCTAGCTACAGGAGTTTCAATGACCTCCATAGACCTTTGGACTGGCAGGGGGAGTTGCCTGGAGAATAGGTAGAGGCACTGCTTGAACCCACGTGGAGACAAAAAGACTTCAGTATGCTGGGATGCTGCAGCACAATTGACTGGGTGCCCACCCCTAAGGCTGTGCATCCTGCTCTAAGCAGCTGCAGCTCCCGCCGTCTGGTGGGCCAGGAGAGAGTAGAGCCTACCCATCGTCATACACCCAAGATAGGCCCCACCGCCATTGCCCATTGGCGCAGGACCAAGGTGCATCCGAACTACACTCCCACCTCCCCCGCCCAGGTTTGCTGGTCCCTACCAAGATTGCCTGCCTGCCTGTTCCTGCAGAGGGTGCCCACAGCATAGCCTCCATTGCTCATTGCTCCGCACCCCCAGTGTTTTGTTTGTGGCCTGGGTACCTCCCCCGTCACAGCCAGTGATTGACCCAGAGGGTTCAGGTGACAAATCCACTGGCCTGGTCCCAGTTCTCCAGGACTTGATCACACCACCCAGGGGTATGGGGATGAGATTTGTAGCCTGACCCTGAGTAGGGGAGGAGACTCCACTGTTACAACACAGAGAAAAGTGGTGCATGAGTTGGTATGGTGCCACAGGAGCTGGGCACCACTTCCTTTCTAATACTGGACTGGAAAGATTCTGGTCTGTTAGCTGAGGTTTCTGCCACAGGGCATTTCATGGTCCAGAATGCCTGGAATGGCGTAGCAATCTGGGCATGGGAAGCCAGATGCCAGACCTGCCAGGTCAGGGGTGTGGGAGGTGAGTGGTCCCCACAGCTGCCTGCTGAGCTGAAAACCATGGGCTGTCTCTCTTCCCCTGAGTGGGCTCTGTGACACAAGGGGATGCCCCTGTCCCTCTTTGGAGGGTTGTCCTGGTGGCCTGAGAGTGGTCCCTAGACCCCCTTAAAAGTTGGCTCTTGCACCCACATTGGAGAGCCTGGTCATGGGCTCACCTGACCTAGCCCCGCCCACCTTTGCCCCATCCAGGTGCCTTGGTGAAAGAGCGTGTGATGGGACCCCTGAGAGCCTTATGCCCTACCCATCACCAGGAACACCTGGGTACTTCCCTCAGTAGACAAAAACCAAGCGAAAAATTCCACTGCTATGGCTGTAACTGCCTCTCACCTGCAAGTGCCACCTACTGGCCAGGAGGTCAAACTGCGTGGCTCATCACAACTTCAGCTGACCTCCTTGTACAGTGCTCAGCCAGATCATACCTTCAACAGCTGCCTACTGGCCTGCAGGGTCAACTGCACAGCCCAATATAATTTCTACTGACAGAAGTGTACAGTGCTGGAAAACAAGATAAGCCTCCTGAGGTATTTAACTTTGGTCTCTGCAGGAGAAAGTGAGCCTGACCACATGTACAGCACACTCCTACTACAACCTAAAAACAACTAGTATTTGAGAAAACCACTACACTAAGGCTATCTATAATCAAGGAATTCATAAAGAGCCTTGGCCCCCTGAAAGCACATAGAAATAAAACCAAAGGTCCCTACCTAACATAGGAAGGGAAGAAAAAAATCCCACCCGAACAAAAGTAAATTCAAAAGCAAGTGACAGCTTCTACAGATGACAAGAAAACAGCACAAGAACTCTAGCACCATGAAGAAATGGAATAGAATCAGGACCACACTAGCTCTCTAGCAATGGATCCTAACCAAGATGAAAACTTTGAATGACAGAAAAAAAATTCAAGATATGGGTTATAAGAAAGCTCAATGAGATCCAGAGAAAGTTGAAAATGAACACACAGAAAGCAGAAAAAACAATTCAGGAGATGAAAGATGAGATAGATGTAAAAAAACAACAGCAAACAAAACTTTTGGAAGTGAAAATTTCACTGAAGGAATTTCAAAACACACATAAAAGCTTTAACAACAGACTAGACCAAGCAGAAGAAATAATTTCAGAGTTTGAAAGGCAGTCTTTTGAAGTAACACACTTGGACCAAAAGAAAAAAGAATTTTAAAAAATGAACAAAGTCTTTGAGAAACAT